GGCATTTTCTACAGTGGTACTTTCAGATGTTTCCTAACAGCTGAAGCCTCTAATCTACCCTCCCCCCAGCATATCATTTGCTTCCCAGGAGCTCACAAGATTGAGGCCATATGGGTACATATCCTTAAATTCCCCCATGGTCACTCCACAATCTTCTTCGAGTGGCCTTTTTACTTTCTCTTATCCAATATTAATATATTTAGTCCCCTTCATCCTGGCTTTTTGAAGGAAGTGACATCTCTTTTTTTTTTTTTTTTTGAGATGGAGTCTCGCCCTGTTGCCCAGGCTGGAGTGCAGTGGCGTGATCTCGGCTCACCACAACCTCTGCCTCCCAGGTTCAAGCGATTCTCCTGCCTCAGCCTCCTGAGTAGCTGAGACTACAGGTGCGTGCCACCATGCCCGACTAATTTTTGTATTTTTAGTTGAGACAGGGTTTCACTATGTTGGCCAGACTGGTCTTGAACTCCTGACCTCATGATCCGCGCCTGCCTCAGCCTCCCAAAGTTCTGGGAATACAGTTGTGAGCCACCGCACCTGGCCCATCTCATTCATTTTTATAGGTCCAATAGACCAAGTATAGTGCCATGAACATAATTTGCACTTAACAAAAGTCAATGATTAAGTAGGTAGACTTGAATGTTTCAGTCCAGTGTATTAGTATTTTCAAAATCTGGGCAGGAGAATTCGGAGGTACATGTTGAAATGCAAGAGGAAATAGTCATCATTCAGGTTTTGTTGACTTCCACAGAGGCTCTTGGGAATCAAAAGTTAAGGCATGGGGGGAACCAAAGCCAGAGTTCAAGTCCTAATGCTAGATTAGAACAAAAACAGAGAAAGAGGCTAGTCTCTCCAGCCACCTAGTAGATGAGGGTCACTTGGCTAGTGGAGTGAGTCACTGAAGTATAATCAGTCACCCTTTCCCTTTCTTTACTTCCTCTACTCTTTCTTTCTGTCACCCTTTTCCTCCCCTCCCCTCCCTTCTCCTCCCCTCCTTCCTTCCCTCTCTCCTTCCTTCCTTTGAGGGGCCTTTTTACTTTCTTTTATCCAATATTAATGTGTTTAGTCCCTTTCATCCCAGCTTTTTGAAGGAAGTGACATCTCATTCTTTTTTTTTTTTTTTTTGAGACAGAGTCTTGCTCTGTTGCCCAGGCTGGAGTGCAGTGGTGTGATCTCGACTCACCACAACCTCTGCCTCCCAGGTTCAAGCGATTCTCCTGCCTCAGCCTCCCAAGTAGCTGGAACTACAAGTGTGTGCCACCATGCCCAGCTAATTTTTGTATTTTTAGTAGAGACAGTTTCACTATATTTTTCCTTCCTTCCTTCCTTCCTTCCTTCCTTCCTTCTAGAGAGACAGGGTTTCTTGCTCTGTTGCTCAGGTTGGAGTGTACAGTAGTGTCCTCTGATGATAGCTCACTGTGGCCTCTAAGTCCTCGGTGGGCTAAAGTGATCCTCCTGCCTCAGCCTCCTGATTAGCCAAGTAGCTGGGACTACAGCTGTACACCACCACACTCAGCTAACTAGAAGTAGTCTTTATGATGGACCTGCATTCGTTCAGTTAAAAATGGAGGACTCTGTTAGTGAGGAGGAAGGGATGAGCAGATATGGAGGGTCAATCAGCAATCTCTGTTAGAGAGGTGATGGGGATAATGGTATACTTTGGAGTTAAAACTGAATTGAACTGGATGGAATATAATGATGCTAATAATGAGCCACCATGAAAGTAAAAGAAAAATAAAAGATATCTTTAGATTGTTTTAATCTGGTTATAGAGTGAAGGTCCCTTTTAACAAAAGTGGAAAACCCAAAAGAAATATATACTTAAAATGTATTGCATGTAGATAATAAAGTTTCCCAAGTAAGCCACTGTGCAGATAACACAGGAATATGATACAGTTGCAAACCAATCTGGTAGATAACTATGCAGGCTTCTTCCTTCCACTCTTCTAAGGCAGGGCAATCAATCGTGGGTTTTTGCTGTTATTAATGTGATAAAATATTATGTATAGTATGGTGTCTGGCAAATAATAAATGTTCAATAAGTAGAGTGAATTCTTATTATTTTAATTATGTTTTTAAACAAAAGTCATCTAGGAGAAAACAAAAGTATGACGACAGAGACTTCTTGTGAAAATCAGTGAGTGGCTCTCTGCAGTGGTTACAGAAATGCCCCAGCATGGAGACCATCCTGTAAACTGGCTCTGCTGTCCCAGCAGTGATGGAAAGCACTCAATTTACTTTCTCGTGGAAGAGATAGAGTGGCTGTCAGTTTACTGCAATCTTTTGGACTGCCTGGAAAATTGAACGTACAACAGGAGAAAGGAGAGGCGGGACACAGATTCTGGAATAGAAGTCGAAGACAAAGAGGCTCGTAAACATCAAGATTCTGGGGCTAATCTAGCCATTCACAGCTTTAGAGCCATGGGCAGTAACACTTAAAAAATACACTATGTTCTAACTACCACAAGGTTTTTCACTCTAGCAACTAAAAAAGCGCTGGCCTGACGATTTGCAATATTAAAAGTCGCAGCTCATCCACCATCAGATGCTAACTGACCCTGCTGTTCCACAAGCCATAACTACAACTTTGATTGGACAAGAGTCTGGTTTCAGTAACTTTCTCCTGATTAAGAAGACCACTGACCATTGACTGGTTCTGCCCGTTTACAGAGATTACACACTTACCTACCTTTGTATGTAAAATGATCTTTTGATATATAAAGCATAACTGTAACACATTTAAATGCTAAGTAGCCACCCCAAAGTGAACATGGGTCATATGTTACATGCATGTTTGTTCAACAGGCATGTGTCAGGACCACCTTCATGAATATTCATAGCTCCTCCTGTAACCAGTTAAATATATATGTTTAGCCAACCTCTTTAGCATAAAGCTCCTACCCCAAGCCCCCCTCCTTTGAAGGGCCTCTCTCTGGTCTTGCCTGGATGGCCACCTTGCAGGCTGTAACCCTTTGGAAGAAATAAAGTCTCCTCTCTCCTTTTCAAAACTTAAAAATTGTGAATTTTTATTTTTATTTTATGTATTTAACTTATAAGTTCAGGACATATGTGCAGGTTTGTTATATAGGTAAATTCGTATCATGGGGGTTTGTTGTACAGATTATTTCATCGCCAAGCTATTAAGTCCAGTACTCATTAGTCATTTTTTTCTGATCGTCTCCCTCCTCACTCACTCTGTCCTCCAGTAGGCCTCACTGTCTGTTGTTCCCCTCTATGTGTCCATGTGTTCTCATCATTTAGCTCCCACTTATAAATGAGAACATGCCATATTTGGTTTTCTGTTGCTAAGGATAATGGCCCTGAGCTCCATCCATGTTCCTGCAAAGGATATGATCTCATTCTTTTTTATGGCTGCATAGTATTTCATGGTGTATATATACCACATTTTCTTTATTCAGTCTACCACTGATGGACATTTAGGTTGATTCCATGTCTTTGCTATTGTGAACAGTGCTGCAATGAACATAAGTGTGATGTGTCTTTGTGATAGAGTGAGTTACATTCCTTTGGGTATATACCCAGTAATGGAATTGCTGGATCCTATGGTAGTTCTGTCTTTGAGGAATCACCACACTGATTTTCCAAAATACATGTGGCCAACAAGCATATGAAAAAGAGCTCAAGGACACCGATCATCAAAACTACAATGGATTTTTTAAGTTAATAATGTGAACAGGCTGAGTATGAGGGACACGGTGGCTCAAGCTTGAGTATATATGTGCTGGCAGGGGGATCTGTACAATGAAGACAATTTGTGGAGGGCTTCTCATTGCAGGTGGAGGATATGACTTCCTCACAAAGGCAACCATTAAGAGTTCTGAACAGATTAAAAGCTGCATAGGTCTGTGTTTTAGGGAGGTGGAAATGGGGATGATGGACTGGAAGGGTAAAAAACCAGAGATCAGTTTTGAAGCTGCTGTACCCATTCCAGAGAAGTGTTGCATTGACAGAGCACCCAAGTCCTGGAATAGGACCATGGTTAGAACGGCAAGTATTTATCAGTTGGAATGGTAAACATTTATCAGGGGAGCAACCAGGTTATTTAATCCGAGTCTCATTATGTCTTCTATAAAATACTCATAAAAAATAGAAATTAAAAACGTGTGTAAACTATCCAGTGGATGGTCATTACTCAAAACAAGATATTTTAAAAGTTTCTCCCATATTCTTTCTGAGTACAACCTGTAGTACCTGAACCACTTCTCTTTCGGCCCCTACCACGATGTTCTGCAATCTCTTTTTACCTGTCTCACCCTCTTCCTGTACTGTGTGCCTCATCGGGACTTCTGAAGGCTTACAGCCTAGGTCTTTGTATTCCGTGTCTCTGGCACGCGCCTCTGCACTCCGTAGGCCTCAACCAAAACTTGTGAGCAAATAGGAATGTTAAGGGGGTGAAGGAGGTGGGCGCGAAACGGTTTCGAGGTCGCTCACTCAGCCGGTTTCTGCCGCCAGGCCAACGCCGCTGGGTTGTATCTAAGAGATCGCCGGTGTCAGAGCGCAGCCGGCACCTTCCCAAGCATCTTGAGGGACAAGCAGAATCGCTCCTCCCGCAGGGCGCGGGCTAAGAAGTAAGGAACCCAAGGGGCTCCTGTCCAACTAAGAAGCGAAATCCCCCTCCTCCAGGCCTTCAGGGCTGGTTCTTGGGAAATCCTAACTCTTTCCCCTTCTAACCCCTTCCTTGGCCCTTCTTCCTGCCCTGGAGGATCAAGGGCGCTGTTTTCCAGAAGCTGCCGGGTCGGAAACGGTAGGGGAATGGGGCGGTACGCGTGGGTGGAGGATAGGCGGGGAGGGGGCAGTCCACGAACTTTTGTCACAGCCTGGGAGACCGCGGTGACATTCCTGTCTGCTCTGCCGGCAGGCCAGCCTCTCCGGCCCTGGACTAGGGGGCGCCGCCGAGAGAAGCCGCCGCAGGCTGCAGAGTCGCCGACCGCGCTGCTCGCAGGGAGACCCCGGGCTGCCCACCGCGGCCTAGCGCGCGCCGGATGGCAGGAGAAGTGTCAGCGGCCATGGGCCGCTTCTCGCTGGAGTGGTTGGGCCTCCCGGGCCTGGCCCTCGCCGCGGCCCTGCTGCTCCTGGCCCTCTGCTTGCTCGACCGGCGCACCAGGTAAGCGCCTCGGCCGCCCGGCCACGCATGCGCCCTGGGCCCCGCGGGCCGCGCGCGACCCAGATGGCGAAGGGAGTCCCCCTCCATGATTTCCAGTGCAGTCAGTCAGAACTTGCTGCGGGGCACTGGCTTCCTCTGGGACTTTGTAATAACAAAGGCTTCTTCTGTCTTTTTCCCACACATACGCATACATATTAAAGCTTTGGGACCGAATTCCATTTGCTGCTCCAGCATAAGTTGTAATAAGCCCTAGGTTGGCGGTATGCATTATGCATCACAGACACATTGTGTGTCTTGCCACTGTGAGTTGATGTTTTATGGCCTAGAAGTCATAGAGCATTTCAGGAGGGGAATATTCTTACATTTCATTAGTTAAGAGAGAACTATTTCAAGAAAATGTCAGTGCATGGTGTGAACAATAATTCTGAGTGCCTCTTCCTCAGTTTACCTCCCTGTACCTCATCTGGAAAGCTGAAATAATAGTACATGCCTCGTGAGATTTTTGTGAGTACTAAATGAGTTAATGGAGAGTATTGTATGCAGTTGCTCTATCATTTTTATAAGGACAAACCAAAACACAATAATGACAAAACCTAGACGTATGTCACTTCTTTACCTAATTTGAATTGTGGAAGTAGAAATAGAGAAGTTCAGATAAAGTCATTCACTTTGAGTTTAATCTGTTTTTCCTTTCTTTCTGGGTCCTATTTTCATACTGCTCTGGTGTTCATCGCTTTTGAAAACCAAGCAGATGCATTTTGTTGGGTGATAATTGATACATATATGTATGTATATTTGCATACATATATATCAATGTATAGATATCTATGTGTGTGTTATACAGGTTGTTTCTCAGTAGTTTTTGGGGAAATGACACCTTTGCACTGCATACAAATATCTATCGTCATTTCTAGAATGCCTGGAGATGAGTACTGTAGGAGTATTTGCCTTTCTTCCCATGTCAGTTTTCAGAGATGTCCCTGGAATGTGCACTCCTCCAGGATGTCTTTTCCAGTGGCTGTGCTTTTGCTTTAGAGGCCAAGATGAGGACTCAGGACACTTGAACTTCAGTGGTATGTGATTCTATGTAGGTTCCACCTTCTCTATTTGCAGGGTCAGTCAAAGCCAGTTAAGTACCTCTAGGTATGCCTTTAAAGAGAGGTGGTAAAAGAAGGCTGTTGGTTCTATTCCAACTTTACATGCAGGGTAGAAACAGACAAGCTGACTAGGGCAGTTTGGATCAGTGAAGGTAATTGGTGTGAGAATGTGGAACTTGAGGGACAGGAAGGCGAAAGGGTAAGGTAGGCTTTCTCTCCTAGCGTTCTGAGAATAGGCTGATCTTTATATCATGAAAAATTATTTTACTGAGATATTCATGCCATCAATTGCCAATTCCTTCATACGAGACTGTTTAATGCCGCATATCTATGGGACACTACTTTGATTATATTGCATTTCAGTGTGTAAAAGATAGCCTCATTTGTCCCAGTACAGAGTCATGTTCCTTATTTCTAGTGTTTGGACAATTTACTAATGCTCTACGAAAATGATTTTTCTGATATCACCTCTAAGAACAGAAACATGGTTAAGAGTCCCTGATATATTCTTACAGATTTTTTTAAAGCTTATGCTAATATGCATGAATATATGTTACTAAAAATAGTGGGGAAATATACCCTATGTTGCACCTTGTATTTTCCACTTTGCAATACATTTTAGTTACCTTCCTATGTCAGTTTATAGAAGTCATTATTTGTAACGATTATATAAATATACACCATACATACACAAAAACACACACACAAAACATGGATATCTTTGAGCTTTTGTGGAAATATTTATGTAGGATGGTGGAGTTGTTATCAAAATGTATGTGTGCTTTACATTTTAATAGATGTTGCCAAACTACTCTAAGCCTCAATTTATGTTACTACTAATCATCTGTGCAAGTGCCAATTTCTCCACATTCTGCCAATACTGGTAATATAAATCATTTTAATTTTGCCAATCTGACACATAAAGAAAATGAAGCTTCATTTTTATCCCAAATTTTCATGTATTTACTTTTAAAGGAATTTGTATATTTTTAAAGACAATAATTGTCTGTTTCTTCAATAATTTATTTTTCTACTGGGTTCTTTTTCTATACAGTCAGCAAAGACTTATGTAATAGGAATTTTCATACTTTTTCATACCAGCTGCAATTATTTTTACTATTGTAATTTGCATTTGTTTAAGAGTTTTTAGATATATGTCCTTGCTTAGAAAGCCCTTCTTTTTCCTAACATGATAAAAATATTCAGCACAGTTTTCCATTATCACATTGAGAGATTTTTACATGTATATAGATTACATTTTTATTCTCATTCCATTTTCATCTTTTGAACAATTATGGCTGAAAAGTGTGTAATATTGCATAGTATAGGAATGCCAGATGTTCCAAAGTAAAAATTTAAATATTACCTATAAAAATGGTAAAAAAAAAATTTTTAAAAATCGGTAAAAATCAATTCAGAGGTCATTTATTGCCTTCAGACACTTATCAATTCCACCTCTTTTGGCTACAGTACTTTGATTTCCTTTTGTGAAATTGTCTTTTCCCTTATTGGTTATTATCTGGTGAGACTGTCAATCACAGATGCCATTGCAGTATTTATCAGGAGAGATGACAGTGGCTTGGCCTAGGGTTGTGACTGTGGGGTTGATGGAAGGTGGTTAGAATCAGGATATATTTTTGACAACAGAGTCAACAGAATTTACTAATGGGCTAAACATGATGTGTGAGGGAGGTGGGAATCAACAAAGAAGCTTAGAAGTTTTGTTTCCCTTTTTTTTGTTGTTTTTGGTTTTTTGTCTGATTATTTAGTGGACGGTAATGTCATTTGCTTAGATAGGGAAGGTTTGGGGGAATTGAGGAGATCAATAATTCTGTTTGGGGTATGTTAAATAGGCAGTGAGCACCCAGAGCTCAGGGGAGAGGTCCAGGCAGGATACATATTTGTGAAAGCCACAAATGTGAAAAGGGAATTAAAGCATGAACAAGTTGAGATCGCCTGATGAAAGGGTTTGATGGAGAAGAGGAGGGCCTGGGCCACTCTCCTTATGGAAACTGAGCCTGGCAGAGAAAGAGGAAAGTTTTTTTACATTCCTTTCTAGTCCGTTCCTACCAGAGTTCTGAGTCAGTTTTGTCCATTCTTGAACTTCATATAAATGGGATTATACAGTATCCATTTTTGTGTATAACTTCTTTGTCTCAACATAATGATTTTAACATTCATTCATGTTGTTGTATCTATCATTAGTTCATTCATTCTATTTAATTGTAGTTTGTAATATATATAACACAGGAGAAGATTGAGGGGCATAGAATATAGAGTTTTCTATCCACAACCACTTCTGAAAATTGACACTTTTCTAAGTAATTGTTGATTTTTTAATTTTTTTAAATACTTCCACCAGTAATACATGAGAGTTTACGTTGCTCCACATCCTTCCCAGTATTTATTAATGCCAGTCTATTGGTTGAAAGCACTATCTTTCTGGATTTTGGATTTTGTTTTTTTTCCTCTGAAGTGTTGATTTTTGTTTTAGCATGCAGATACGTTTTTGGCTGATTATTCTGAACTCATGGAAGCTTAGTTTTACTCTTTGTCAAGATGAGTCTATGAAAAGGTTGTGATATTTACAGATTCTCTCTTCTTTGGTGATGCTATGATTTGAACATTTGCTTCCCCTCTAAAATTTGTATGTTGAAATCCTAACCCCCAAGGTGACAGTGTTAAGCAGTGGGGTCTTTGGGTTATAATTAGATCATTAGGTCACTGCCGTCATAAATGAGATTAGTCTTCTTATAAAAGAGATCCCAAAGGGTTCCCTCGCCCCTTTGTCCATGTGAGGACACAGCAAGAAGATGGACGTTTATGAACCAGGAAGTGGGCCCTCATCAGATACTGAATGTACTTGTGCCTTGATCTTGAACTTCCCAGGCTCCAGAACTGTGAGAGATAAATCTCTGCTATTTATAAGTCAATCAGTTTATGGTATTTTGCGATAGCAGTCTGAATTGACTAAGGCAGATGAAATTCAAACCCTAAACTCTGTCACCCTAGTGGTGGGCAGTGGCTGAAGCTTCTGTGCAGGATTCCAGCAGATCCCTTCCGCTGGGCTTTTTGGGGGTCTTCCCTGAAGATGCACGCATCCAGAGTTAGCCAATAATTTGAGGGGTGTATATATACAGATTTTTGAGGTGCTTTCTTTTTTTCTAGATTTCTTTCCTTGATTGCCAGCCACTTCAGTAGCCCCAAACTCTGAAACCCCATGCTGATAATATTTGTAGCTTTTTGCTTGAGTTCCAGCTTGCTGATAGGGAGTGCCCTCAGGGGCAATCCTGTCCACGCTGGATCTCTCTCAATATGGGTCTGTTCTTTAAGCGTTGCCTCCCCTCCGATATCTGCCTTCTTTTGCCTGTTCTTCAGCGAGTATAAATTGGTTTCTTTTTTTTGTTTGTTTCATATTTTGTTTTCCGTGGAAATGTTGGGTTGGTTCAAGCAACTTTGCCATTTCTGGAATCCAAACTCTATGTAAGAAAGACATTTACCAGTGATTATTTCTAGGTGACATATTTCTATGGGATGGTTTTTCTTGTCTTTGTTATGCTTATATGTATCTTTAAGGTGATATCAATAAATACGTATTTATTTTACAAAACAAAGAATAATAAATTTAAATTTTTATTTTAATATTTTATTTAAAATAAAACTTTGAGAAATATGTTTAAAGTGTTTTAAATTATCATTTCCATTGGAAGGACCAGCAGTTGGGTAGTCCTTCCCATAGAAGACTTCTTACTTAGAACTGGCTGTGTTATGAAACGCAGTTCATCTACAGCAAGTCATTAATAACATGTTTTTGTCCAATAATGAGATATATTTTTAAATCACTGTGTATCAATAATAGACTTAGGTATAGATACCTACTTCCCAAATTATTGTTGAAGATAA